AACTTTTTATGCTATGACCTAAAGAGCACAAGATAGACGTCTGAAGGGAACAACTCACAGCACCAACAACCCCCACTGCCGCCCAGTGAGGAATGAGCTGGGACCCTTATCATAAACAAATGACTTTTTGAAAGTCAAAAACTTAATACCTATAATGAACTAAACTTACTAATTGTGGAGGGTTAGATTAGGGGCCTAGAAACCATAGCTCATATCTCTCAGTATGTGTGGTGGTGTCAAAACTTTAGTCATCTGACTGCAGTTATCTTCTGCTCTCACCCTTCTCCCTTCTGCTCTGCCCCCATGTCCACAAGCTCTCGGTTCAATATTTCTTAGACCCTTGCTGCTTAAACGGTCCTGTACCAACCTGGAACCAACTCCACAGAAGCAGTGTTCACACATCTGGTTAAGGTGGACAACTGAGCATGTGAAGACAGTCAGTGGGGAAAGTCCCTCAATGACACCATCCCCTCTCACTCCTCACCCCTCCCCCATTGGTATGCTACTGTTTAAAGAGCAGTGTATGGACCAGTAATAGCATCTTCTTGTTAGAAGTATATAACCTCAAGTCCTACTAAATCAGTCTGCTTCAATAAAATCCCCTGGTGATTCATGTGCATATCAAAGGTTGAGGTCCCTATATGCGCCCCCCCTTTATTTTGAAACAGAGTCTTATGATGTCACCCTCAGTAGAGTATCGTGGAGTCACAGCTCATAGCAACTTCAAACTCTTGGGCTTAAGCAATTCTCTTGCCTCAGCCTCCCATGTAGCTGGGACTACAGGCACCTGCCACAATGCCCAGCTATTTTGTTGTTGTTGTTGTAGTTGTCATTATAGTTTAGCAGGCCCAGGCTGGGTTTGAATCTGCCAGTTCCAGTGTATGTGGCCAGCACCTTAACCACTGAGCTACAGGCGCCTGTACTTCCCTTTTGAAACTATTTCTCCTTTTACATGTCTCATGGCACACAAAAACATCCAACAACAATAATGAATGCCACTCAGCAAGACACAGCCACACATTGACAAAGATATATCTGTGAGACACTGATATACCAAGGTTATGAAACCTTACTGAGTTGTTTGTACAGTGCTGCCAGTGTAAGTGTATGGTGGCAAGTTTGTGAACTTGAAAGAACACGGAGTAAGAATAAGATGGAATGGGGAGGATGGTCAAAAAAAAGATGGAATCTGGCAGGCCAGGGTAGACATGACACAGCTGGTCTGGTCAGCTGGTCGGTTTAGGTCCTGCCTGACTTTCACCTCCTGTCTCCCATTCTTACTATTTTGTAAATTTAGATCTTGAGTAGTTTAGGTGCCTTGATTTAGGAGATTAACTTTTGAATTGGAATGTTGCAATGGGTCACTGAGTTATGCTGATTATTATTTAAAATTAGGGTTAATGTGGTCTTTGCTTTGAACTTTTATGTACAAAACTGTAATTTGGCTACTCTTACTGTTCTCCAGACTCACTGGCTTCTGACAAAGTTTGGTGGACCTATCCCCATCTCTGCATATTGCCTGACAGTAACAGATGGCTGGACCCCTCGTTGTTCAATAACAAACTTAATTGTCATTCCCTGTATGATCACAGCTCTGATGGCCATTCTAGAAAAAGAGTTTCAAAATTGCTTGGAAGGGTGGATGAGGCACTGGCATTAGTGCATAGCTTCCCCAAAAGAGTACATCAAAGGTGACCAGAGAGATAATTCAGCAATGAGGTTATGTAGGTACATTTCTAGGATGAGTTTTCTAGGATGAGTTTGCAAATTTGTCAGACCTCATGTCCCCAGATACAGGTACCTCTTCTTCAGCTTTTTATAGATTGTTACAGATGTGAGACTGTTTGCAGAATCTCCTTCAAATAGAGGAAGCTACTGAAAGACAATGACTGTTTATTAATCTTCTCTCTGAAAAACTAGCCATGTGGTTAGAATAAAGGCTTTGGGGACCCGCATAGAAATCTTGGATCTGCTACCTACTCTGTGGGTGACCTCAAGGAAGTAACTTAAGTCTCTCTAAACCCATTTCCTCATTTCAAGAGAAGTATGACAATACACGGAATCCTGAGTGTTCCAGAAGACAGCATGTTATGCAAATAAACCTAAGGATCCAGCAGGCCCTCCGGGTGACTTCTGGCCATTTTGAAATACAGAGTCTTTGTACACAGTAGATGTTCTTAATAATTGCAGTGTTAACTGTGAATAGTTACCCACTGGCAAGCTATTCAGTAGACTCGTCTTGGCTTTAGGAAACGCTTTTAATAACAAATTTACTGATACCAAAAAATCCCCCCAAAACTGTATCCTAGTTTACAGTCCCCTTCTAAAGGGGCTGCTGTGCTGAGTGGAGTACTAGCATTTTGGAGCTAATAAGTTTGTCCCTTCATAGCAATTTTTTCTTGAATTTAAAAGGCTTTGATAAATTCTTTAGCATATATAATATATAATTTTTTAAACTATAACACTCTGCAATCAAGCACAGTCTCACTTCTTCATCAGGGTCCACATCCTTCCCACAAGAACAGAACTGTGACATTTCCTCTCCTTTTCTTCTAAAAAGTAACCTAACCACATCACCGTCCTACCCACCTGCAATGACTATGACTAACAGATGAAATCATCCAAGCCTGTCTTTACCCAGTGGGACCTTTGATGAAACAGGCTCAAAAATAAATCATTTTTTGGCCTAATAACCTGTTGGAAGTGACTTTTAAAAGAGGGTCAGTTATATACACATTATCACACACACATCCCTCTGTCCAACTGCTTTATGAGGAGACGCCTATTAAAATAATTACCTTGCAGAATATTCTGTTCCCCAGCTAAACCTAGTGAGCTTTTAAACACTTGCTTATCCAGAGTCTGGAACTCGGCACTTCTGCCGCTGCTATCTTTTAAGAGTAGGGATAAGACTCCTCTGGGAAGGAGGAGTCTGGGAAGAGGCTGTTGCCATGTCCGGATTGTCAAGTCAACCCCACTCAGCCAAATAAGGATTTGGGGCGGGTGCCAGCGGCCGTCATCTCTACCATTCCTGAAGGGCGACTACCACTCACCCTCAACACAGGAGACCACCTCCGGCTCTCAACTGGAGCCCAGGGCAATTCATTTTTCTTTTCCTTGGGTGCCAGTCACATATTTACCATCTGCAAAACATGATTGTGCCCTTGTAATGAAAAGACGGCAGCATGAACGGACCTGTCAGTCAGATGTGAAATCCTAGCGGGAAAAGACAGTGTCTTTCTCAGCCCTGAGTGCAGTACCCCAGACACGGCTTGGTGCTCAGTATGTATGTCCCCAATGCCTCAACACAGAAATTGTTGCAGGAAGACGAGGCCCAGTGGAGAGAAAGAGCACCCATACACGGTATTTAAGAGGAAAAAGGCTTTTACACAGCCAGTGGAGCTACCGCAGAGAAGAATTCAAAATGGCCACGCTCCCGACTGGCTTGGTCTTTCCCTTTTTATCTCCAGTGGAAAAGTTCCAACCCACAGGTACCTTTCTCTGGTCCGTTTGCCTCAAACAGGAGAAGCTGTTCCTTCCCCCCACAGAACTACAGGATTTCACAGAAGCAGAAATTTCCAGGTCCTGGGAAATTAAGTCTACAAATTCCTAAAAGCTGAGTGGCCACGGAGAGGACCCTGCAGGTGTATCCTTGGGGTCTCCTGTTCCCCTAGACACTGTTCCTGGGTATCCTCTCTCAAAATGACTAAAGAAATGGACAAATGGAAGGATGTAGAAACAAGAAATGAATGCATGGGAGAGCGAAGGAAAGACTAGGAAATCAGAAGAGGAAGAAGGCAGGAGCCAGGTGCATGGGCCACTCGGTGTTGGGGTAAGCCGCTGTTAACCTGAGCGGCCACGCGGGGCGCTGCTGTCAGGACCTGACAAGGCCACAGGAGCCTAAGTGCTGACATCTGAAGATGATTTATTCACTTCCAACTTTTCTGTTGTAGGTAAGTTGGGGAACTGGACTCCCTGGTCTGGTCAAGGACCCAGGACGCTGTGCACGCAGTGAAGTGTTGACTAGCTATAAATTTAGTCTAGAGTAAAAATGCTTTAAAGATATAACCACTTTAAGATAGGAAGATGCTGGTGTAACCTTGTAACCTCTGAGGAGGGGTCGAGTAGTAACATTGCTGATGTTGACTTTGACTGAGAGAGTAAAAAGTAGCAGTGGGACACAGCGGGGCGCGGCGGGGGGCGGGACGCTCTTTAAGGAGATACCCTCGCTGTTCTCTGGAACTGCTGACATTTCTGTAAATACAAGTGAAACTGTAGAGCTCTCAGTTGACTGGCTTGAGTGACGGGCGTTTGAACTCTTTGGTCCTTCGCCGCCGGTTCCCTTTTTCAGGCGTCTCTCCCCAGCCCTGCCTTCCTGCAGTCACTGCGGAGCGGGAGCGGGAGCGAGCTGGGGGCAGCACGGGGCACCTGGGACGCTGGCCCCCGGCGGCACCGGGCCGGAGACAGGTGCGGCAGTCCCACCCTCGGGTCCCACTCCTGCTCCAGGGCTCAGCCAGGCCTCGCGCGGTGGACGCGCCGACCCGGTGATGTGGAACCGCGCCTCGAGCTTGTCCTGCGACCCTGTCCCTGGTCGGTGCCCCACAGCCGGCCCCCATCCCTCCCCTCCAACCCACGGTCCGAGCCCGGGTCCCCACCGCCGGCCGCCGCGAAGACTACCGCGCCCCCGCTCCAGTCCCCTGGGGCCTGGCTGCTGACACGTGGGCAGAGTCCCCGCGGCACTCCTCCCACGTGGGAGGCGGGGGGCGGAGACGGTGCCCGGGCGGGGCGGGCACGCCGGGCCACGGGCCGCATCCTGCCCCGGGCGCACAGTGCTACCGGCTCGAGCAGGGACCTCGGCGCCTGCTCTCGGGCAGGACGGGTGAGCGAAGGGGACCCCGCCTGGAAGGGCTCCAAGTTCAGGGGGCGCATTCCCGCTGCGCCGTGAGTGGTTTCCCTGGCCCGAATCCCGGGAGCCCTGGAAAAGTTGCGAAGGAGGCGGCATGGCCGGGCAGCCTTATCATTCTCCCCAGGCAAGGAGCCCAGAGAGAGGATCAGGTGTTTTCAGGTTAACTGCCAGGTGAGGCGTCGGGGCGGCAACTTTCGGGATACGCACCCTGGAGAAATCTTCATAAATCGATGGCTTTACTGTTCCAGGCTGGAGCTTTACTGCTGCCTTGGGAATGCTTGTATCAACGGCTTGCAGTTAGTTAACTAAGTCTGGGCTTCGCCTTCCGGAACAAACAGGCCTTTTCCTCAGGTGGGAGGGCTGTGGTGTGGTTAACCCGGGTTCCTCTGCTTTTATGAAAGGGCGCCCAGTTCAGCCCGGCGGCGCTGCCAAGGGGCCCCTCCTGCCTGGTCACAGCTCCAGCCACCCAGAGCACAGCGGAGCCGGGGAGGGGAGCAGGAACCGGCCAAGGCTCCCCCTTCTCTGCTCTCAAAACAAATACAGTGCTGGGCTGTTAAAACTCTCAAAATAGTATTAAGACTTTCCCGCTTTTCCAGCTCGGTATAAATGGACGTAGGGCCAGCAAGAAAAGCCAGAATCCAAGAGAAAACTTTTCTTAATTTTTAGTCACTGCACAGGGTAAGTATTTAATTCCCTGCAAATGGGAATAATTTTTTTAGAGTGTTGGAAAAATTTTGAATTAGAAAACATAACTTTCATGCAAGCTCCCTTGGTTGAAGGGACACACTTGGGTGTGTACACAGAAAGTTTTGCAGGTGTTCAGATTCTATATATATCTGGTTGTACCGTACTGGCGGGAAACAAAAGATTGTGTGTTATTGTAAACTGAGAATGGAAGACAGGGGTATTGAGAGAGAGAAGAGATGCTGATCCATGGATGTCAGGATGCTGATTCGGATATTTTATGGAGACAGGACCAACTTCATAGTTCTCCCCAGGAGGTGCATGTGAACTTGACGCTGAGAAGTCGCTTGCTACTTCTGTGAGGAGCTAACCAAAAGCACACAAGTTTGGGGAATCTTGATAGCTTCTTCCTATTGAGTCAGAAGTCTCTTGAGATTTAGTTTATCTTCCTGTTGGTACCTGAAAAGGAGTCAAATTCTCCTTTCTGGGAACTTTCCACAGCCACACCCTTCTCCTTTAGCAAACTTTCCATAAACCAGATTCTGTGGCTGGGCCCCTTTAAAAACAAGCACATTTCCCCGGCTTCCCCTGACCACTCCCAGAGAGAGGCCATCAAAATAATGTCAATTTTCTTTACCTGCCTGTACCTCCCCCCAAAATGGGTTAAATGCTCATACAGTATTTGAGATAGTCCTATTCTTTTCTCCCAAGGAGGAACATATCAAAAGTGTTGTTTTTAAAAATAAAGTCGTAACTATAAAACACCTTAGTGTAGCCAGTAAGAAGAGTTGAGAGATAAACTTTGATCAGAGTGGCGGAGCACCCAGAACCCCAAGTGAGGAAAAATCATATTCACAAGCTAATCATTTTGGCTAGGTTTCTGTCGGTGAAGTGAAACCCAGAATAAGACAGTTCTTCAAACTTAGTGGGAAAAGAGGTA